TCTGAGTGGGCCACCACCCCGTCTCGCTTGAGTTGGTCGACCAGCCAGTCCTGGCCGCGGGAGCGCATGGCGGCAGACGCGCCCGCTGCGCCGTGCGATGTCGGCGGGCGGGGAGGCTGCCGCGGCGGCGGGGAGAGCGCTGCGAGCGGGCGGGCGAGAGGGGGACGGCAGGGGAGCAGGCATCCAGCGGTGGAACGAGGGATGAGAGGGCAACACAGGGTGGAGAGTGCATGTAGCAGCAAAGGCAGGGGTGGGCGGCCGGGTGTTGCAGTACCCTTGTAGCGGCTCAAAACCTGGCCCCGGTGCGGGTTCTGACGGCGGCATTGGCACCCACCTTCGCTGCGGAGGAAGCTCCTGGAGGCATGGAGCTATGCTGATGGCAGGTACCTTCAGGGCTCGCCTGCAGCGCGGCACAGGAAGGCAGTGCTGAAGGGCAGGCCAGTGTGGTGCAGAACCAAAATGAGATGAGTCCCAGCTTCGGCAGGTTCGGCAATGATGCATGCATGCGCGTGCGCAGCTGATGCCTGCCAGCGGCAGCGGGCCTTGGGCATACCTGAACCACCCATCCTCTTCCTCCGCATCGTCATTCTGTAGCAGAAAGTTTGCTGCCAGGCAGGCTGTCGGCGCGGGGCCGCCATTCATGGCTGGCTTGACCTTGCGGCAGCTGACGAGCCGTCGTGCTGCTGCTCCTAAAGCCTGCGGCGGGGTAGAGGGAGGGTGCGCTGGACTGCAGGGCCAGAAAAGGAGCGCCGGCCAATGTGCTATGCACAAACTGAAGGCCGCAGCTCGACAGCCGCAGGAGTGGGCGCGCGCGGCGGGCAGCCCTCCCCGAGCCCGCTGCACACCTGTGCCAACAGTGAAAAGGATGCCGGAGATGGGAGGGGTCGTCAAGTGGTGCTGCACTGGCGAGGTGGGATCCATGAGCTGCATCGGGTGGGATCGGGAGGCACCAGGGTGAGAGGGTATGGGAGTGGCAGGCTGCTCAGCAGCGGAGGGGTTGCCTGCCGCATTGCTGCCAGCCCTGCTAGAAAATCACACGCGGTTGCACAGCAGCACATGGCGACAGAGCAGCACGCGCGGCACTGAACATGGGTGCTGGTGAGAGGTAGCAGGTTGGCAGGGCCAGGCTGGTGGAGGTTGCAGCACCCGCAGGGCGTCGAGGATGCAGCACCCGCAGGGCGTCGAGGGTGCAGCACTCGCAAGGCGGGCGGCGGCGCGGGCGGCGGCGGCGCGGGCGGCGGCGGCGGCGGCTGCTGACCGGCAACGGCAGCATGGCGCACCTGCTGCCAACCTTCTGGACTTCGCTCTGGTGCTGCCGCAGGCTGCGCTGGTGAAGCCGCTGCGCGAGGTCAACGATGCGCCCAGCTGCCATCAGCCCGAGCTGCAGCCCGCGCCCAGCTGCCCGTAGATCATATTTAAAGGTCGGCGGTCACCGCCTGAGCCGCGGGGGCCAGCATCGCGGGCTCCTTGCCGCCGATCACTTCGGCCGATCAGGGCCCGCCCGCCTCGGCTTGCAGGGCCGATTGTAGCTGTATGCATGGCAAAGCAGCAGGCCCGTGCCGCTGAAGACCGCGCGTTATCTCTTCTTCCTGCCGTACTCCGGGCAGCACATCCCCAAGGGCGCGTCCCGCACCCACTCGGGCCAATCGCACCTGCTTCCTGAAGTGTTTTGGACAATATGGGAGGCCGCTGGCGATGCTGCGGCGAGATGGGATGAAGGCCACACTGAGAGGCTTCTCCTCCTGCTGCGGTGGGGCTTGCAAATGCTGCAGCGGGGCATGAAATGCTGGTAGGGCGCGATGCAGCGGGCGCAAGTTGGACGGCCTCACATGGCAGCGGCGGGCATCGCCGACGGCGGCGGCGGCAGCGCGGGTGCAGGTCAGTGCTTGGCAACGCTTAGCCATGGGTTGGCATGTGCAGCGTGAAGCAAAGGAATGCATGCCATTGTCGTGAGGTTGAACATTGCAGACTGCCGCTTGTGTATTTGTTGCGGCGATGAGCAGCGCCGGCGGGTTAGTCGTATGCCGGGTTGCCACTGGGTTGCACGGCTAGCTCAGTTTCGGCTGAAGGCACATCCAGGTGCGGGCTGCTGGGGTATTATGCCCACTCCCTTCTTCATTCCCATCCCAAGCTGCTGCCAGCTGTCAGGCACCTCAGCAGATGTGTGCCATGCCAACATCCCTGCTGTATGGCCTCCCTGCCCGCTCGTGCAGGTCCGAAACCTGATGTTGCAAGTGCAGCGCGTGGACCTGCGCAACGCCAACACCAACAGCTACGTTGCGGCCACCTTCACGTTGCCCGCCGCCAACAGGCAGCTGCCAGCAAGCTGTATGTGGGCCGGCTGCAGGAGGTGCTTGTGGTGCCCATCGGCAGCCAGCGTTGCACGCTGCTGAGCGCGTTGTGGTGCCGGGAGATGGTGGAGGATGAGCAATTGCTGGGGCTGTGGTGTGTGCGTGCCTGCGGCCAACCCCTTTGCCGCCGATCACCCGATTGAGGCCTGGCCCTTCTCCATGGCGGCGGCTGCCGCCGACTGCAGCCCGCACGCCCCACGCTCCCCGCTTGGGGCCAATGGCATGTAGAGCTGCTTAGATCCGGGCCCTCTGCCTTCTGCTCACACACAAACGACGAATGCTGGAAGCTCATCATCATTCCAGTCGGCCTCTCGCCATCACGCTCCCATCCAATCGGCCCATTTCATTGTTTTCCGCCTCCCACCCTTGCCTCTGCCGCACCGCACCATGTGTGCTGCTATCCTGCTGAGCTATGCAACGTCTAGTGTAGCCCTAGTCCGCTTAATCCCCTTGACCACCTCTCGTTCCAGATGCATCTGTTTTCCTCCCCCACTTTCATCCGGTACCCCAAATTGATACCTCGAAGCTATGGCAGCCACCTGCCATGGCCTGTTGCCAGCCACCTTGCTGAGCCTGCTGCACCGGCGGTGCCCAGAAGCCATTCCGCCGGCTTGCAGCAGCTCGCCCACACTCCTTGCCTCCTGTTGTTGAGTGTTCACCTCCCGTTGGCCAATCAAGCCAGCTCTCAGTTTTGGCCCATGTAACGCCCCGCTCCACAAATGGAGCTCTCACAGGATGCAGGGCAGCGGTGCTGCCAGTGTCAGGGTACGATTTTGTTGGTGTTTAGGGGGTGNCAGTGTTGCATAATGTCGGGAGACCAAGGGTGCCACCACCAGCTAGCACCACAGGCCGGGCTTGGTGGCATTGAACGGATCATCAGCAGCTTGGAGGCCTCGGCGCTGCTGGCGCCCGCTTTGAGCGCAGCTGCCGAAGGCGGCTAGCCGCCAT